AATGTTGGTGGTTAGATGTGGTGAAGGACTACGATTGTGAAATCTTTTACCAACCGCGAAAGGTCAATGTAGTGACCGACACCTTGAGGTGCAAGGCGGTAGCGACCCCGATCCGATACATTTGTCTGAGGATGATAGTGATTACTCCATTGCTGGAGCAGATCCAAGAGGTGCATGTCGAGGGCCTGAAGGAGGAGCGTCGTAAGTGCCAGTGGATCATAGACCGGGTGGCCTCCTTTGATTATAACAACCATGGATTCTTGACCCTCCATGGAAGGATCTGGGTGCCGTACCGAGGCGGAGTACGGCATATATTGATGGATAAGGCCCACAAGTCCAGGTTCTCCATCTATCCCGGGGTGACGAAGATGTACAAAGATCTTCGACCCGATTATTAGTGGCCCAGCATGAAGTGAGATGTAGCTTGGTACGTGGAGAGATGCCTGACTTGCATGAAGGTTAAGGTAGAGCACCAGAGGCCTCACAGCAAGATGCAACCGTTAGTCATTCTTGTGTGGAAGTGTGAGGACATTATTATGGATTTTATCACTAAGTTTCCCAGGACCACACGTGGGGTCGATTCGATATGGGTCATAGTGGATTGGTTTACCAAGAGCACTCAGTTTATCCCAATCCAAGAGAGCATATCGTCCAAGAAGTTGGCTGAGATTTATGTGTGAGAGGTAGTGGCACCTCGTGGAGTGCCTGTCTCAGTGGTCTCAGACCGAGGTGTTTGTTTTACTTCCAGATTTTGGAAGCGGTATTATGACGAGATAGATACTCATATCCATTTCAGCACCGCCTTCCACCCCCAGACCGACAGACATAGCGAGAGGACAATTCAGACTCTCGATGACATGCTTTATGCATGTGTTTTGGATTTCGGTGGCAGTTGGGATACGTATCTTCCGTTAGCAGAATTTTCGTATAACAACAGTTACCACGCCAGTATAGACCAGCTACCCTTCGAGATGCTCTAGAAGAAGAAGTGTAGCACCCCAATTTGTTGGGGTGAGGTCGGTCAGAGGGTCATAGGGAGTACGGAGGTAGTACTCAAGACCACAGAGCGTATCCAGTAGCTCTGGAGCAGCTCTAGATTGCTTAGAGTTGGCAGAAGAGTTTCACCGACAAGCGGTTTTTAGACTTAGAGTTTCAGGTGGGAGATATGGTCCTCCTGAAGGTGTCACCCTGGAAGGGTGTTATCATGTTCCTGAAGCAGGGCAAGCTGGGCCCTAAGTTTATTGGCCCTTTCAGAGTCATCGACCGGGTGGGCAAGATAGCATATCGTTTGGATCTACGCGCAGAGCTCAACCAAATTCACATCACTTTCCATGTTTCCCAGCTACGGAAGTGCGTAATGGATGACATGGCAGTTGTAACTTTAGAGGATATTAAGGTAGATGACAACTTGAATTACATTGAGAGACCAGTGGCGATTCTGGATCGCCAGACGAAGGAGCTGAGGAATAAGAGGGTTGAGCTAGTGAAAGTGCAGTGTCAGCACCGTAAGGGTTCAGAGTGGACATCGGAGCCCGAGGAGGAGATGAGGGAAAACTACCCGAAGTTGTTTTCAGATGCAGCATACTTCGAGGACGAAGTCTATGACAAGTGGGGAGAATTGTAACACTCGGTTCCCTGGTACGTATTTAATTTAATTTTTTATTTATTTTGAGAGAAGGACTCGACGAGTTGATGGCCCTAACTCGTCGAGTAGAAGGCAGACTATACATGGAGTTTAAGTTGTCTACTCGACGAGTCAAGTCCCTAACTCGGCGAGTAGCTCAGTCAGGGTGAAACCCTAATTTTAGGGTTTTGCACCATATTTAAACACCTTAATCCCCACCCCCTTAGCCTCAATTACAGCCTCCTTGTCCCAAACCCTCAGCTACAAAACCCTAGAGTGCTTTTTGAGTGTGTGGGCCACTTTTGATTGTTATTTGTGCCTTTTGAAGCGTGTGGAAGAAGAAGAAGTTAGAGGAATCAAGAGAAAGACAGTAGATCTAGAAGTTTGATCCCTTTAGCTGGATTTTCTGGTAATAAAGCCTCAAACTTGATCATTTTCTTCTTAGATCTATTTATGACCTCTTTATGTGGGTTTTTGGTCCAAGATTTGCTAGCTTGTAGGTAAGGATCGACCCAAGAGTTTCTCTTCCATATATAGTGCCTTGAGAGGTTGTGAGGACATAAAGGTGCAAACTTTATGCCATTTGAGTCCACATGCAAGTGCTAAAGAAGTATTTATGGCCTTTTGTGATAAAAAAAGGCCATGCATGGAAGCAAGCTTGAGACTTTTCGTGGTTATCTGATAGCTAGACCCTAGATCTAGGTTTGCATGCGTGGATTTGAGATTCTAACGCTTTTTGGACAAGATGCATGTCAAAACCTTTTAAGAATAGTTATGAACGGGTAAAGTTGGAAAATTTACCCTTAGAAAGGCCATTTAAGTGAGAAAATGAACTAAGGACCTTGGATCTAGAAGATAGAGGCCTAATCTATTAAGATGGCCAAGTAGACATAGGGACTCGTCGGGTCCATAAGGGAACTCGATGAGTCGATTTGTGTTGTCCCGATTTTATTATGTTAGAACTCGATGAGTCTGAAGATAGACTCGACAAGTTGATTCGCCTGGTCGCGATTGAGCAGCTCGATAGGACTCGACGAGTCGGGGGAATGACTCGGCGAGTTGAGTCACGATTCCAGGATTTCTGAGTTATAGAACTCGGTGAGTTGAAGGGTTAACTCGGCGAGTTGGTCAACCCAGAAGGTTCACTTAGACTGAAGCATTGACTTTGACCAGTGGTAAAATGGTCATTTTACCCTTAGATGGATTTTCAGTTTTCTAACTAAGTATTATTGTATATAGTTAGTCGGGGAGTTGTGGGAGCAGCCAACAGAGATTCCTTACGCACGAGATCAGTATCCAGTTTGAGAGGTGAATCTTCCTTCAGGAGGAATGGGTCGAAGGTACCAATGTCGGCCCGTTTATGTATGCATGTTAGCATTTTCCGGACTTAGGTCCGATGTCGGGGCGGTCCCGAGAAGTAGTTATGCATGCTAGATGTCTTTATGATTCATGCATGTTATGTGTTATGTGTTTCGGGCCTAGGCCCGATGCCAGGGTAAGCCCGATGTATGTTAGTTATATGTTATGTGTTATGTGTTCCGGGCTTCGGCCAGATCTCGGGGCAAGCCCGATGTATGTTATATGTTATGTTATGTGTTTATGATATATGTTATGCAGTGTGTATGCCAGGGTAAGCCCGATGTCGGGCGACGCCTGATGCCAGACGTGCTTTGATGTCGAGGTGAGTCTGATGTCGGACAGGAGTCTGATACCGGGTAAGCCGATGTCGGGTTCATCCCGATGTAGCTGGGAGTAGTCCCATAGTTATTATATTTGTTATATGTTATGTGTATGATATGTGATATTGTGGGGGAGCTCACTAAGCTTTGTGCTTACAGTTTTCAGTTTGGTTTTAGGTACTTTAGTTAGCAAAGGGAAGGGCTTGGGATGATCACATGGTATACACTACAGTTTTCTAGTCTGGGAGATTTCATCTGATATTTGATATGAGATTTTGATATGTTGACAGATATTATAATATTTTGAAATACATGGTGTATGGTTTTATATTATGGTGATGATATTTATTGTTTTATTAAAGATTTAAAAATGAAATTTTTGGACCATATTTTTGGAATGTTTCATAATTAGATCTAACAAAAGGAATATCAAGATGCAAGGTTTATACATTCTAGAGATAGGTAATGAAGTGCAAAGTCTAGATCTACAAAACTTGGAGCTCACACTTGTTTCTCCAATGGACTCCTTCTTCAAGAATGTACACAAAAATCACACTAATACTTTCAAAACTCACAATTAGTGAATAGGGCTTCAAAGGAACGATATGAGGTGATGGAGGTTGGTAACGAGATCTATGGTTCCAAGAAGTTAGAGCCCTTAATTAGGGCTCAAAGCCTTAGGATTAGGGTTTTTGCAGCAGCGGCTACGCCCTACATAGCAAGATAGACGCCATGCGTAGATCACTAAAATCACATTCCTCATTCATCATCTACGCCATGCGTAGGGCAAAACCCTCAACTTCCAATTCAACTTCAAACAACCATAACTTCTTCGTTACTCTATTTTCGACGTTCTTTATATGCACAAAAAGGTATTGAAGCGCCCCATAATTCTATGTAGTTAATTTTAGCTTAATACATGTCAAACTAAAACCATAAACCATGTAAGAAGCCCGAGATATAACTTTTCCTAGTTTACCATTTGGTTCCAACATACAAATCAAGGGTTTTATATCACATAACCAATACTATCAACCTTCAATAAGGTCTAAAATTTACTTCCCCTAGGCCCCAAAGCCTTTACTTGATCGAATTACGACCCACAAATCCTAAATTAAGAAATACCTGAAACAAGGTGTTACATTCGGTGACCCTAGATGTCTAATTCCCAAGTTTTAGCAAAGAAAAGAAAAGAAGAGGGAGCAAAAGTAATGAGAGAAAAAAAAATTGTATTTTGTGTTCCCGAGTTGTAGATGAGCAAAAAAAAAAATGAAACATTTTATTAATTTCTCTCAAAATCTATACAAATTATCAGAAAAGCTAAGAGGGAAAATGATATTTACATTTCATTTACTTCCTTCCTTTTTTGAAAACTAAGAACACAAATCTTTTTATTTTCTTCTCACTTTTATCTATTTTTTTTCTTTTCATTCGTTTAAGTTGAACTCGAGAACAATGTAATACTTCTAATCCTCGAGATCTTATTGACATGTCCATGTAAGTGTGTAATATGTTGCTCTCTAGTGCCTTACTATATAGGTTCCTTTTAAAGAATTTTGTTTAAAAATAATTAATTGGTTGTCACGAAGTTTGGTGGTTTTCCCCAGATAATTTTGTTTTTTAACCCATCCTACGATACTTATGCATGTATCATATGCCTTAAATAGCCTCAGATCATTGTATACAATGTTTGGATTAGGCGATTAGGATTCCTTATATGGTCCGCTGTACCATGACAATATTTTATTACACACAAACTCTATTTTGACCTCTCTTTTTCCCTAAATTTCTGAAGCCTGTAACAACAACCCAAATCGCCTCATGTGTTCCATTCATCTTCATCTCTCTGAACATGGTTTCTCTATCTCAACCATAAACACAAATCTGTGCACAGAGGGAAAGAGAAATGGCATCGTATACAGAAGACGATTATGATTACTTGTATAAGGTAGTTTTAATCGGTGATTCAGGTGTAGGTAAATCTAACCTTTTGTCACGTTTCTCCAAGAATGAATTCAGCCTTGATTCCAAGTCCACGATTGGGGTCGAATTCGCCACTCGTAGCATCCATGTTGATGACAAAACTATCAAGGGGCAAATATGGGACACTGCCGGACAAGAAAGGTATTATCTTTCATAATAAAGATTGTTCAAACCCATGAAAAAAAAACTTGTATTCGTGTTTTTCATGTTAATGAATCAACAAATTGTCGTGGGTCCGGTTTTCTTTCATAAAACATGAAACATCTTTATCTAAAGTTCTTAACTTTTTAAAGAATTTAGCATGCATCGATTGAAACAACGTTATCACGGTGTTGACTTTTGTTACGTTTCAGATACCGAGCCATCACGAGTGCTTACTACAGAGGAACAGTGGGTGCACTGATCGTATACGACATTACCAGAAAGGTAACATTTGATAACATCGAGCGATGGTTAAAGGAACTCCGAGAACACACAGACCAAAACATTGTCATCATGCTCGTAGGAAACAAGGCCGATCTCGGACACTTAAGGGCTGTGACAACAGATGAGGCCAAGGCTTTTTCCGAAAGAGAGAACGTCTTCTTCATGGAAACATCAGCTCTCGAGTCACTGAACGTTGAGAAAGCTTTCACGGAAGTGCTTACCCAGATTTATCGTGTTATGAGCCGGAAGGCCCTTGGCATCGCTAACGAGCCATCGGTTGTACTTAAAGGGCAGACAATAAATATTGGAGATAAAGATGACGTGTCTGCTGTGAAGAAAGCCAAGTGTTGCTCTAGGTAATATATATAAAAACACATCTACTCTCAAGAAAGCTAGGCGCTGCTAAGTCTGAAAGAACATATCTTTATATCTATTGATCGATGATTTCGAGTGAAGAATACTACGTTTTTGGGCACCTTGCCACCTTGTACAATGAATAGTAGGAAACATGTCGTTTGCGATGCTAAAGAAGTGGCAATAGAATCTTATTTAAGCACCTTTGACCGATTTCTTTCACATCGACAATTTCCACGAATTTGGAATAGCAAAAGAAAGAGTCAACGACTGAAACTACCGCAGTGTGTTTCTTTTTTTGGACAGAATTTGCAACGCGACTCCTTTTGCAATGGACGTTGACCAGTTTCTCTTTTTTGGTTTTTAGAACCGATTCAGGGCCTCTATTTTTGTATAGTTTTTTTAGTTAGTGCATATATTAGGGAATAGTTATCTAAATTAGTCTAGGGGCATATAGCATTTTTACTTTCATCTGTATTTGATAATTTGATTCTTCTTCAATGTATATAGGGAAGTTGTCATTATTGTAGATACCAACGTGGGATTAGCCCACTTGATAGATGTTGAAGGCCGGAAGCCTCTTAGATTGGAGGTTACTGGTTTAAACACAGGCATAACCGAATTAACTCACTTGATGAATTTAACTTCTAACCACTAATCAACCGTTAAAAAAATAAATAAATAAAACCATTAGATATACACACCACACAAGTAGCATGGGATGGCTTGAGCTCAAGTTGACGCGTAAACACCTCCTAATGTGGTGTATGTGTTGTGGTTGTGTTGATGAATAACTCTGGCTATGCGCTTTTGAGAGAGAGAGAGAGAGAGAGATAGAGAGAGAGAGAGAGAGAGAGAGATGGCTTGCGCCCACATAGGCGTGTAAACACTTCCCCATGTGGTGTGGAATAACTCTGGTTATGCGCTTTTAAAAAAAATAGATATTTCAAATTTACTTATAAATACTAGAGGTGACAATCGTATCGTGTGGTGTCGGATTCGTATCATGTTGAAACACTAAATGGGTTGAAATTGTTTGACCCTAACCCGATCCATTTAATTAATGTGTCATATCGTGTCAATCCATTTATTTTCGTACCGGGTTTCGTGTTAGGGTTGTACCTTGAAATATGTTGTGTCATGTGAGGTTAAAAGATTGAGCATGTTGAAAGAGTAGGATTTCGGTAGGCGGAGAGAAAAAACTAATAGTTTGGAGGCGATATAGATGAAGTCATAGCAAATTCAGATGACAAAATTGAAAGAGTATGAGCTAAGGAGGGAGAAGACAAGATCATGAAGATGAGAGAGTGGTCATAGGGATTGTGTAGTTTGGGTGAGAACGAAAAAACTGGAAATGAAGTCTTGATCTAGATAGCTAAGTCATTTCAACATTACAAAATGATTCAACCCAAATGTATTCTTTTACTTATTGTTTTGTTTTGTATCTTTCCAGTTTATTTAAAGAATTAAAAAAAAAAAAAAAAAAAAAAAAAAAAAAAAAAAAAACCTTATATGTAAATCAAGAGGTCATTTTCGAGTTATATTTGAGTTGAAATTCTCAACCCTAACGTTACCCCTTTAATTTTCGTATCATGTTGTGTCAACCTGTTTAAACAAGTTGAAATAATCTTACTCAAACTAGTTTATTTCGCGTTGAGTTCGTGTTAGGTTTAATGCCGTATCAAATTTTGTATCTCTAATAAATACTAGCTAATTATCACACACATCCCCATGCTACAACATCTATTTATTTTTATACTTGATAATTCATAAGCTATACTTTTTTTCACCTTTAATTTAAATCAAACTATGGTCACATTTCGATTCATCCACTAGTGGATTCATGAATATGTTATAAGGCTCACAAATTCAAGACTGACATCTTTTCCAACGTCCATTCCTATAAAATTACTTCCAACAACCAAACACCTTCAAACAACCAACGCTATTCCAACAACCAAACTCATTCCAAACAAATGAGTACTATCAACAATTTCACCATTTCCAATTTCAACCTTTTCAGTCCAACACTCCAAAGACAAAGATGAATCGGTACCAGAATCACAACTAAACACTTCAAAAAGAAAACCCAAAATGAAGGGAAAAAAATCTCCTAGGAGTTGAACTGGAGACGAGAAAACGGCATTATTACGAGCTTTGATATTTATATATGAAGATAAACATAACGCCAACCACCAATCTTCGAAAGCTTTTTGGGAAATGTTTTAGACCTCTTCCACCCCAAGATAGGAAAAGGCTTTTTAGTGGAGCAACATCAGTGTTTGTGGAAAATGATGTGAGTTAAGAGCTAGTTACACAAACTTTAACAACATGTTCAATAATCTTATGAATATGTATAAAAATGGATGCAACGATTTCAACATTTTATGCAACATCCCAAAACATCATGGATAAAATTATTATTTTTAGTTTAATCAAAAATCAACAAATATTCATAACAACCCCAAACAAAGTATGTCAATATGAGAATAATTATTAGAGTACAGATCCAAATCATAAACAAAAGAAAACTTAACATGGGTGGGTACGCTGCGATTAATTCGAGCCCTTCCTTTTCGATCTGGAAGTACCTGAAACCATAAACATAAACTGTAAGCACAAGGCTTAGTGAGCTTCCCCAAGATACCACATACAATACACAATCACATATAACAACACGTGGTTGTGTTAGGTCTGTATGAACCCCATATGACAACATATAGCTGTGTCGGATCCATATCAACCCATATGATAGCAAGTAGATATGTCGGGTGTCAACCCCTGAGTCTGTAATGACTCCAAGACCAGATCGGCTATATATATATATATATATATATATATATATATATATATATATATATATATATATATATATATATATATAATATATATAATTCAATCAAATCAGTCATAGTCACATAATCATATACATCCAACACATACAAATTAATGGGCTGATATTGATGCCTTCGACACACTAGTATGGTAAGACTCACTGCTATACGAAGATAACTGAATCACACATTCGAGTTGCTTCTAACACGACTCCTCATACTAATCATATCCCAAAAATAACTCTAATTAATAATCAGGGTTTTAAATGGTCTAACTATTCCTTCATCTTACTAAGGACAAAAAGGTCATTTTGCCCTTTCCATTTATAGCCCAACTTGATAATCCCAACCCTAATGGTCCAAGGCCCAAAAGAACGGCCCAAGCAGGTTTTCTAAGAGTACGCCCAATATACTCTCTCTTATGCCAGCGTATTACTTGATTCATGAAGGGAAGGTTACGGGGACAAGATGTAGTACATGTAGTGTACTCGAATTTATGTCTGGCGTATGCATTAGGGTCCAAATCCTTTTACGAAGGTCTTAATACTTAAAGGTATAACGTCAAACTTCAAATCCAAGTCTAATAAAACGTAATAATCCATAAAGTTGCAATCTTTATGCTTTTTCATGAGTCTAACTCCAAAACCCTAACTCTTTTAGTCATCTAAGACTCCATAATTCTTGCATGGAAGAGAAACAAGGTCCAAGCTTGCATATTTAGGACTTAACTCACCTTAAAACGTTTGAATGGACAACTTCAGGTCCTAGAGTATTCAATACTCACAAGGGTCAAGATTTGGGACAAAATGGTGTAAAATTCTAAGCTTGAACAAGATTTAAAGAAATATACATCAAGGTTGGAGCTTTGTACCTCTAGAAGATGCACATGATTGAGTAGTTGTTAAATCCAAAGACTTGAGAGAAAAATCACTCCTCTGATGATCATCCTTCACAAAAAAGAATGCACAAAACTCACCCAAAAGCTTCAAATCTCACTCTCAAGGCTAGGGTTTTTGATCTCAGGGTTTAGACAAACGGAGGTTGGAGGTAAGAACAAGTTTGAGGTCATAATGATCTTTAGATAAGGTCCAAACCCTAAAAATTAGGGTTTGTCCCTTGCTCACATGTGCCCAACGTATATACAAGTACGCCCAGTGTACGCAAATAACTCCATGATCGCACGCAAAGTCCTAAGCTCGACGTACCTTACTTGTACGCCCAGTGACCAATTTTGCCCATTCTTAATTAGACATAAAGCTAGAAAGGAAAAATAAACTACAACAATATTAGACCACCAACAATGGTAAATCATTTAGCCATATAAGAATGGCTAGTTATATGAAAGTGTTTGAATTGGATGTTTAATCTAGAAGTGCTCTCACAATCTACGGACTCCAACAAGTAGTCGAAGTTAAATGACTACACAAATATGTCAGACATCGATACAAGAATTGACCACAACGATTACGTTGAAGAATGTCCACCAAAAGTATCCCTTTAACGACCGATTGCAACATGGAAGAAACAAAGGAAAATGGTGCAGCATCTTCGTTGAGAAAAAAAAATGAGTAAATTACACAAATGATCCCTATGGTTTGGGGTAATTTGCACGTTTGGTCCCTAACTTATTTTTTTAACTCAGGAGGTCTTTACTATTTGTTTGTATTATGCGTTTGATCCCTATGGTTTGTTTTTGTTATGTGTTTGGTCACTGATTTACCTAAAAAGACTATTGTTTAAAGAGGGAAAAATGATGAGGTAGGTAAGGTTAGGTGATGTGAATGGGGTAGGAGGTGTGTTTATTTAAATAAATTAAAAAATCAATGGCAAAATAATCTTTTTAGAAGATAGGGACCAAACGCGTAACAAAAACAAACAGTAAGGACCTTTCAAGTTAAAAAAAATAAGTTAGGGACCAAGCATGCAAATTACCATAAACCATAGGGACTATTCGTGTAATTTACTCAAAAAAACATATGTGAAAGGAATATAGCACTTTTGGAAAAATTCGACGAACATATTTACGTGCTAAAGAAAAAAATAAGCATTAAAAATGAAGCGAGACCACAACATTAAATATTTTCCAATATAAATTTTGAACATGACAACTACCACAGATCTTTCACCTGAAGAGCTCCAAATGTTTTAGCGTTCAAACAGAGACTTAGAGAAAAATATAACTATATTTAATTTTTTTTTTTATTAAAGTAGCTATTATTTAAGTTCTATGTAATTTTTATTAATGAAAATTTTACAGTTTTGGGAATGTAACTTTTTTATACAAGTGTTGTATTTAAATAATAAAAATAAAATGATGCTTGTGATGTTGAGAGGTAAGGATTCTAAGGAGTCGTTGGTTTTTTATTTTAAAAAGCTCTTCGGCATCATTTTTGTTTGTGCCCCGCAGACAATGCGCAGACTTATATCCCCGTAGAGCGTTTGTTTTTTCGAAGTGTTTAGATATAAAAACATTTGCACGAGGTCTTCACTACGCAGACATGGACTACCCACTTTTCAAGTCTGCGGGCGTTTGACCTAAAGAAACGATCGTTCTCTTCTTCAATCGTATTCTCCATCTTGTCTCCAACACCGACCTGCTATACTCCTCTGCGGTCAGCCGTCGTCGCTGCCGCCATCTGTCAGCGTCTTTGGCCTCAACAACACTGACTTATCGGAGTTCGACTGTCCTCTTCGATCTGCTTCCCGTCTCGTTCACTTCACTGGTCAGCATCTCTCTTTTTTTCACTTCAAACATGGAATTAGTGATTAATTTTGCTGGAAAAAGTCTCCAATCAAGTAAAATATGTTGTTTGATTTTACTGAAACTGTTTGTTCTTGTTTAAATTTGGTGTTAGATGTTACAAATCCGAAAATAATGTTGAAAATTACATTTCTTGTTGATTGTTGTTGAAAATGTATAACATTAGTGAAATCAAGCTTTTTTCTTTATTACAATATAAAATTATGTGTTGAAATATGAAATAATGATTAGAATGTGGTGATTTTTGCTGAAAAAACTTTTATTGCTTTAAATTGTTGTTAAAATATGTTGAAAATACTTTTTTTTTGCTGAAATGTTAGAATATGTTGAAAATTGTTATTTGGTTTTGGAAATATGACATAATGATGTTAGTTTGTTGCTGATTGTTTGCTGAAAATACTCTTTTTTTGTTGAAATTGTCGTTAGAATGTTCTGAAAATTGTTATTTGGTTTTGGAAATATGACATAATGATGTTAATTTGGTGTTAATTGTTGTTTTTTTTTTTTTTTTTGCTGAAATGGTTATGGTTCTTGTTGAAAATACTCTTTTTTTTTTGCTAAATTTTTTTTGTTAGAATGTGCTGAAAATTGTTATTTGGTTTTGGAAATATGACATAATGATGTTGATTTGTCTACGATATAATTATTGTTAGAAATGGGAGAGAAATAACAATGAACCAATGAGCATTTAAAATGTTTATTGGATACTTGTATTGAAGAAGTAGAAAATGTGGGTAGAAATGGATTGAGTTTGAGGAAAGATTCATGGATAAGGTTTGGACGAGTACTTAAGGAAAATTTTGGCATTAATTTGACTCAAAAGCAAATGAAAAAAGCATATGACAATCTGAAAGCCAAATACACAGGATGAGTATATTTGAAAAAGAAAACTGACAATGTATACAATTCTCAAACAAACACTTTTAACTTAACTAATGTGATGATTTTAAGAAGATACACACACATACATATTTTTAAAAAATTACGTTTGAAGTTGCCAAATATTCTTATACTAATTTTTTGTTACATTTGGGTTTAAAGGCATCCGAAGGCCACTTCATTGAGAACAGTTTCACTGTCTTTTCCAAATCTTTGTGCACGTCTTTTTGATGGAAATAATGCCACTGGTAATTTTAGGAGTTACTCAACCCAATCATCATCAGTAGTTGGAGCATCTTCTTGTCGTGTTCCACCACTTCAGATTATGAGCACCCCTTTTCTTGCAATAGATGATGATGGTGATGACACTTCCCATCATGCTAGTGAGCATTTTCATGAGCCTCCACCTTCTCCTGCTTCACCTGATGCTACTTCACCTTCTGTTGCTTCACCATATACTGGTTCACCCTCCAGTAACCCTAGCAAAAGGGCTAAACCCTCAACTCCTATAGCTCCTAGTGCCTCACCATCTGCTTCTTCACATGATAGAACATCTATTACTACTGATGATTTAGCATTTGAAATGAAAAAAGTTCCACAAAGTTTAACTAAAGGGTATACAATTCCCCAATTTTTAGAATAGTTAGAGGTGCTTCAGTTAACCCCTACAGATCCTTTACGCTTTGTTGCATATCATATTTTTGGAGTGACCATGAACATGAGAGAGATGTGGATGCATTTGCCTGATGTTCCCGAGATATTACGAGGATGGCTTGAGATGACGGGTACAAGTTTAGCAGTTTTGAAGGACCGAAAGATTGTCCGATGATTTTTCTTGTGTTGAAACTATTTCTTAGGTCTTTTTGCTTATGTTGGA